CCATTTAAGAAGGGTTTGGAATGCAAGATCAGAGCTGTAATTCAAATTTGCAAAGGTTCTTCATGGACACAGTATTTTTAACTCCATGAATACCTTGAATCTTCCCAATGGAGTAATAGGAAATTTACATCTGGGTCATAGGAAAGGTTCCAGGAACCTGGGCTTGAGCTACGACTTCTCTTTAGAGTGGCTCTGAGTGTGTTGAGGACAACTCCCATCTCTCAGGGAACACACAGACAACAGGGACAGCAGTCACATCAGCACCATAGCAGTCTGTCCTCTAGCAGTTAATTTGATATTTGTTTGGCAGCACTAAACAGATAACCAAGTTAGAATTTAAAATCAGAAGTCCTGCTTTCAAAGAATGGCCCATACATTTCTATCGTGGCAGGCAATCATTTGTAACCTCTGAGCCATGGATCATATTTATACAAATGTGCTTCTTTACATACTTGCATAGAATGACAATCGTGTGACGATTTAATGCCAAACCACACAGAAATTTGTTGGGTATTCCAGATGCTATCTTTTAGGTTGTCATGTCAATACAAGAAAGGATCTAAGGCTGTATATAATCATGTTTCATTGTGCCCTCCTTCTCACGGGTCACTTATGAAAATATGATCAGTCAATGAGCCCACTCTCATATCACAACCTCAGAGTGATCCTTGTTTTATTTCTACCAAATTTTCTAAAAAGCCCATTTTAATTAATAAAGCAAAAAATGTTTTTCCATGAGTCTCTGGTAATTCAAAATCCTTCAACCAAATAGTCTTTGAAAAGATTTGTTGAAAAATATAAATAGGTTATACCTGAAGACTCGCTTTTACTCATGTATTAATTCCTCTTTTAAAATAGCAAGAAGAAGAAGACACTAAAACTCAAGTAGATTTAAACAACTCCACACAGGCACCCTGTTTTTCAGTATTTTTCACTAATGGAGAGGGGGTCAAAGAAAAATACATCACCTGGAACATATTACTCCTCAAATTATTTTTCAATCAATAAATGAATAAATGAATGGCATATACAAATGAATGTTGTGAAAGAGTTTCCTAATTTTATATTATACAGTGCCATTGGAGTAATAACTCATTTATTTTATTAAACATCAATAGATTAATATTTTTATTAATTGGAAATATTGGCTTTTCAAGCCTACGAATGTGTTTCTGGTCACATATAACCTTTGTGCATCAAGGAGGGCCTTGTATTATGATGGTGGAAGAATGGGATTTCAGGGAAGTCAGGGAAGGAAGGGGTGTAAAAGGGATGTACTTATTCAGTCTGTATGCTGAGCAAATAATCAGAGCCGCTGGGTTAAATGAAGAAGAACTCCGTCTCGGGTTATTAACAACGTGTGATATGCAGATGATGGACAACTGTGCACGCACAAAGTGAGAAGGACTTGAAGCACTTGCTGATGAAGATCAAGTACAGCCTTCAAGATGGATTCAGCCTAATGTAAAGAAAACAAAAGTCCTCACAACTCTACTAAGAGATAAACAGAGAAACAACCGAAGTCAAGAGCTCTAAGGATGCACTTCACTGGGTAAATCTGCTGCTCAAGACAACTGTAACAATTTGAAGAGCAAGGCTGTCACTTTGAGGACTAAAGTTTGTCTGACCACTTCATAGGCATGTGAAGGTTGGATGTGAATAAGTGAAACTGAAGAGGAAGGTTGCATTTGAATGACGGGCATGACAAAGAATATTGGGAGTACCATGGACCACCAGAAGCACAGCCAGAATGCTTCTGGAAGCAAAGATGTTGACACCTCATCTGATGTACTTTGAACATGTTATCAGGAGAGACCAGTGACTGGAAAAGGACACCATGCTCCGTAAAAGAGGTGAAGGAGAAAGAGGAAGATCCACAATGTGCTGGGTTGCTACAGTCATCGTTGCAACAGTGGTCTCAAACAACTGAAGAGGGCGCAGGACTGGGCAGTGTTTCATTCTATTGTCTACAGTCTCTCTGAGTCAGGACCAACCAGCAACAACAACAATCTGTTATTGACCAAAGTGACTCGGGTTTTCAGCTACTGCATTTGCCTCTATTAGTCAAACTAACTAGCTCACGTGGACACTTTGTTGTTGTTGTTTAGCTTAATGATAGGTTATTTTCTTATTTTCATCTAATGGAACAAATTAAATATGACATAAAGGGCAATGGTTAATTGTTTCAGACTCAGTATTGACAACTTGAAGCACAAGCCTCATTCACTTCCATTAAGTTGATTCCATCTCATCAAGACCCTGTGCTGTGGCTTCAAAAAGTTCATAGAAAAATGGAAGTTAGCAAAATAATGGAATTGCTCCCCACAATTTTAGAAGCCCCTTATCTATAAACTTATACACTCATCATGCAAGAGATATTTGTGGAAATATTTCCATATGTCTAACACTATACTGGATACCATGGCTCGAAAGCCTCTCCTTCTGGAAGGCATATGGAAGCGAAATATGAACAAACATAACAATATAAAAACTCACTGGCATTGAGTTGATGCCAACTCTTAGTGGCCACATGGGGCAGGGTAGAACTGCCCCTGTGAGTTTCTGAGACTCTAATTCTTTCTGGGAGTAAAAAAGCCCGGTCTTTCATTCTAGGAGCAGCTGGTGGTTTTGAACTGCTGACCTTGCAATTAGCAGCCCAACATGTAACCACTACACCACCAGAGGCCCCAATATATAGCAATATCATGTGTTAGGACCTCAAAGAAAAGGACCTGCAAGGCACCAAACTCTAAAGCAGACCGAGGTAGTTAGTTTATTGTGCGAACCTGGCCAATAAGCACATGTGGGGTTAATTGAAGGGTGGAGAGATAAATGGCTCAGTGAGCCTCGCCTTTCAAGTTCTCAGGTCTCTTGCTTTCTGATGGTCGGACCAAAGTGCAGCTACTTTAGCAGTTCCCTGGTTCAGCTGGCAAAGCTGACTTTCTGCAAGCCATCCCTGAGGAGAAGCTGCATGGACCTACCCCGATGCAGCCCTGGGTACTGGAGCAGTCATGTGGAGCACCCTGCCAGCACTGAGGTGCTTACATGTTTTCTGATTCGGCTTTCCTCCTGAGGTTGGCGTCATGGTGTGTGTTTTGTGAGATGGAGGAGGACTTTGTGGATTGGTGTCAGACATATGGGTTAATGGATTAATTAATGTTGGACTTGTGGGCTTGGGCAGCACTGGGTTGGGGTGTTTTTTTTTGATATGCACTTGCCCTTTATATAAAACTCTCTCTTATACATGAGTTTCTGTGGATTTGTTTCTCTAAAGTACCTAGACTAACACATTATGGTACCTTGGGAGTGGGGTACTGGAGAAACAGATCATAAGATGGAGTAGATGTTTGTTTGACCTCTCCCTCATGGTATTTTTTCTTTTGTCCAGCCAGAGGTCAGATAAAGCCACACTGTTTACTCGGTAGTTTTTCTGGGAAACTATGGGAAGTAGGAAAATAGAAAGTTTGTAAGCCCACTTGCTTTGCACCATTAAAATTTGATCTTTAGATGGGTTTAGGCCATGCCTGTGAAGAAAGCTTTGAAAAGATATGCCCCACCCAGAGCTTTGGAGTACTCAGGAACCAATGGTCTTTGTCAGAAGCTGGAAAAAATCTGGAACCATGAAGAAAACTCCCCTCTGGGACTGAATGTTAAAGGGAGCCTGAGAGCAGGCTGAAATGCTTGCTAGGTGACCACCTGGAGCTACTTGCTGGGTGGAAGTGGGAGAAATGCAGCAATGAAGAGACCGGTTGAGTTTAGCCACTGACACCTGTGGACTTGGTTTACAGGAAAAAAAATGAGAGCAGGTTGACTGGTCTAAAGTTCATGACCTAGCACAAGGGAGCTAGGCTTGTTGAGTATTGGTGAAAGCCCATGGTTTAAAGGCAAGGCAACCAATGGGCACCCTGTGGAGGCTGAGTGAGGCAGCCCATATTGAGTTGACCAGAACCCAACCAGCTGGAGATTTTTGAGCCTGTGAATTGGTGCATATTGTTGCTGACTTTATGGATGGCCTGTCCGGATTTGACTTTGCTTATGGATGCGGACTTCACAAGGTTCCAACTGGAATGAAGATTCTTCATGCAGAAAATATTATTGTCTCTTCAGAGCACTGACTTGATGTAAGTGGGCAGTATATAAACTGGATAAACCAAAATTGGGGACGGGCGGGGTGGTGGTGATTAAAGGCATGAAGTGGTTGGCTTACAAACTTTCATAGGTAGGGGAACATATTCACAGGATTATAGTGTAGGTGTTACTTAATTGCAATTGTGAGGCTAAAGAATTACCCCATGCCAAGTTGGTAAGGGGTAGGTTGAGGTAGTTAATTGTGCTAACCTGGCCGATAAACACATGCGGGGTTAATTGAAGGCTCGGGAGCCTTGCCTTTCTAGTTCTCTGGTCTCTTGCTTTCTGATGGTCAGACAGAAAAGGCTTTGCAGAGATCAGGTATTTGAAGTCAGTCTTGAATTTAAAGTTCAATGTAAAGCCTATGTGCATGGTAGGCTGGACTTGGGTGAGCATTTTACATGGTGTGTCTGAGGAAGGTTGGTTTGAGAGATTCCAGTTTCCTCATCATAGTACTGGGAGTAAGAAGAACTTTGAATATACCATGGCCCACTGAAAACCTATGCTACTCAAAGGGTGGTCTGTGCCCATTACCTGACAGCATCTTAGAACTGCAGGATTTCAGACTCATCTCAGACCTGTTGAACCAGAACTTCCATTGTAAACAGTTCTCCAGGTTATTTTTTGTGTAGCTACAATATTCCAAGGCCTGTGGTCAATGTGCCTAAGTTCAAAGATTAAAGCAAGGCAAATGAAAACAGATACATTTCATACAGGTTTAAAGAAAATGATGTCAAGGTGAAATTAAAGCAAGCACTTGGTAGCACCTCAGTCATGCAAAATGGTTGTCTGAACATGTTGGGGTTTTGCTTGGTTGGACTCTGATATTGTTACCCATTCAACCCCCATAATTCTGTTTTCTACTTTTCCAGGCATGCGCCAAGGCAATGATCATGGCACTCAGTACCGTTCAGCCATCTATCCTACCTCTGCTGAGCAAATGGAGGCAGCCTCGAGGTCCAAAAAGGACTACCAGAAGGTAGGCTGCGCTCACACCTGGGTTGGGTTGGGTCCCGAGGACTTACCCAGGGTCCCGTGTTTGGAGGAACAATCTTATTTATGTCTTTTCCCTGTCACTGCATTGCATTTGTTTTTTTAAAAAAATCTGTCACTCTATTGGAGTAGAGCCATTATGCTCGATAAATGCTATTAAATAAAATTTTAAGAGGAGGCATGTAAGTATTTCTCTTTAAAATCAACTCATCCAGATGAATGTGCAGCTTATTATACAGTCTCTCTCTCCCTCTCTTGCCAATAAGAGTAAATTGGATTATAACACAAATACTCCTCAGGAATGTATACAGCACATCATGAGACGATTATTTTCTGTCTCAACCTTGATAATACTTAAAAAGCCTTCTCCCGTAGAGATTTAGTGATTCTAAAAACAACTCGAGTGTCTTCATTTTTAGAGACCCACGATAACATTGGAATGTCACTTCTGATATTTCCTGATGTTGATTTAGTCAATGACATAGAACGTAGCTACAATAATGTTGCTGTAATTTAGAATTCGATAAAAAGCCTGGGAAGCAGCTGCCCCCAGGAATGTCTGAGTTCTCCATGGTGGCAGGGATGTATCAGTGAAGAAGACTGTCCCAGGTCTGTGCCAGCTGGAGAAGAACATGCAACTCAGTGTCACCTTGACCCCAAAGCAGAGAAGGCTCAGGAAGATGCTGATAAGTTCCCACTCAGCCTTCGGCCCTCCCTGCCTCACACCCTCCGAGGCTGCAATGGATGTGGGTGACAACTGAACCTTTGTCCTTGTAGTAGGTGACGTCTAGAATAACCCCCAAGAGCCTCCACCCTTGTGTAATTTTTTTCTCCTTCAGTGTGAACTGGATTTGTTTAATGACCCACTTCTAGTAAATGAGAGAGCGTTGGGATATTACTTTTGATATTAACTTATTAAAAGACACGGGCTTTGCTCGGGGGCTCTTTCCCAATTTTTCTGGGATCACTTGTCAGAGAAGGGATATGCCATGCTGTGAGGCAACTCATAAGGCAAAGGACCTGGAGGCTAGATAGGCAAAATAGGGAACAGAGGCAACTTTATGAGGAAGGTAGACTTAGTGTTGGAAAGGTGGAATTTGAGGTACCAATGCAATGGACAGTAGTCTTCATGGTGTCATGAATTATTCTTGGAGCTGCTAACTGCAAGGTCATCAGTTCAAAACCACCAGCCTCTCCACTGGAGAAAGATGAGACTTTCGACTTCAGTAAAGATGGACAGTCTTGGAAACACAGGAACAGCTCTGCTGTGTCCTGTTTCTATGAGTCAGAATTGCCTCGATGGTAGTGAGTTTGATTTGACTTTGCTTGATGAAAATGGACATCCAAGTGGTGATTAGGAGGAGACTTGGGCTCTTCCTGTCTCTTAGGGACAGTTGTCGTGATTGTTACTGGGTTAATGCCTGCAAAGCATAGAGCTTATAATAGTTAGTCTTTAATACTGCTAGTAGTCATCAACCTATATTGAGCAAATGAAGCCCAAGGAGCTGAAAAATAACCTGGGAGAACTGACCGGGTAGTGGAGGGCTTCTGAACACCAACTCTGTAGAGATGGTCAGGGCATGCCTGCAGCAAGCAAGACAAGGCGCTAGACATTGTAGAGGATCAGCCCAAGCAGGTTTGTAAAACGCCATTCTGGTTGTTGTGATCGCACTTTATTTAGTTCTCAAGGCCACGTTAGCAATTGATACCAGGTTACAACTGATGCTGTTTATACCATGCCTGATTCCATTAACTTTTCATTCCAGTCTTTTGTGAACTTTGTGAAGTCATTACTGGGTGTGTGAGTACTAAAATTTAGGTGTGCAAAATTAGTTCATTGTTCTCACTATTGCCTCAATTATTTCATTATATTCTGGGAATGTTAATCTTAAATTATAAACAATTATTTTAACCATTGGCCTTTTGAGTGTTCCATAGCCAAGTATATGGGAATTAAAGACCTAGTTTTTCACCTGTTTTTTAAAACTAGTTATCTTGTGTTTTTCCATAAAGCTTGGCATCTTCTATGTATGTCTATAGCAAATAGTGCTAGTAGTGAAGTGGACTATGCATTGAACTGCTAACTGCAAGATCATTAGTTCAAGTCCACCAGCCACCCCACAGGAGAAAGTTGAGGGTTTCTGCTCCTCAAAGATTTAAAGCCCCAGAAACCCTAACAGGAAGTTTTACTCTACTCTATAGGCTCACACTGAGTAAGAATTGAGTCACTGGCAGTTAATTTGGTATTTTGTTTTTTTATGTCTTTAGCAGCGGCAAAATAGGGATCGACAAAATCGGTATACATTGCTGTTGTTTAACATAGCCAGGTATTACTCCTTAATCAGGGACCTAATACTGTTCTTTCCGTATTTTATCGCATAAATAAAATTGGCCCTAAATGCCACTGATAACAAAGTTCAGTATTTCTCTGAGGGACAATTGACTAAGATACAGAGGGTCTTGGCTCTAGACCAAACCAATGCTTTTAGTACGTCTTCCTACTAACTAGTCCATTCTGTGCTGTCCAAAAGAGTAGCAACTGATCATATGTGGCCACAGAGCATCTAAAATATTGCTAATATGACAAAAAGAGCAACTTTTAAAATTTTATCTCATTTTATTTTCATTAATTTACATTCGTATTCTCATAGCCACTTGTGGCTACCGTATTAGACAGCACCGCAATTTAAACAAGTCCTACAATATGTGTGTGTGTTGTGGGGCAGGGGCAAATGTCAGGAGTCTAAGCTTTTCTACTCTTGTCATGACTTTTCACTAGCGCGTGGAACTGCCATGCACATAAATCCATCAGAGGTGATCCACTAGGAAGTACTGCTTCCTTTTCACTGTGGAGATCCACAGAACAAGAGGTCAGGGAGCCTTCTCTGTCACCCATGAAAAGAGCTTCGTACTGAAAGTCACTGTCCTGAGGACCCTTGGCTGACCTCATTCCAGTGCAAAGAATGCTTCCATGGCTGGTACAGCCATTGCCCAATGGCCTCCACCTGAGAGCACTGTGTCAGAATAGATTCTCTGGCCTTCCCATGAACACCAGGAACTGCTGGCCCCTTTCCTTTTTCTAGAGAACTGCATCATGAAGCATCAAGTCCTTTTCCTTTTCATCCACCAAAAGATAGGGCGTTTCACTGTGCACCCCACATTCGTGGAGAATAGGGCTTATCTGTCACTTTCACATAGGTAGCCATGGTGATTTTGATCTTAGCCTGCGTCCCACAAATAAATAGCAGAGTATGAGATGAAGACCTGTGTTAGAAACTTCTTGGGGGCGTGCACTGCCAGGGAGCAGGAGAAAGGGGCAGGGTTGATTAGAAGTAAATGAGAAAGAACCAATACAAGTTGGCTATTGCTACTGGTGACTTGTTGCTTGATCCTGCAGAGCCTACTGAGAAGCCTTCCTAAAAATACACGAATCCCAGTCATTCCAGGGAAGGAAAGGACGCATTTATCCATTGGCTCCCTTATGCCATTGGTCAGGGTGCACTCTGCACACATGAGCTGTACATGTGTGGCTTAGGCATCATGCTGCGTCTCTCGGATTGGAGTTAAGAGGTACATGGCACAGTTAGAACAGTGCTTCTGAACCTTCTGAATGCTGCAACCCTTTCATACAGTTCCTCATGTTGTGGTGACACCCCCACCCCCAACCATAATACTATTTTTGTTACTACTTCATCACTGTAATTTTGCTACTGTTACAAGTCGGGGGACCCCTGTGAAAGGGTTGTTCAACCCCAAAAGGGGTTGTGACCCACAGGTTGAGAACCGCTGGGTTAGAAGGTGAGTTGGTAGAATTTTGTACCTGCATAATTTAATCAGGGTCTGTACAGAACTGGTTACTACAGCAGGGGCTGGATAAGAAAGCATATGAGAAGTCATATAGTTAGCTTTTATTCCATAAAGAGGTTCATAAGTGCTATTACATTTAAGTTAAAAAGTAATGTAATTCTTAATAGACCACACAAGGCAGAGAGATCTCAGATCCTACCACTTTTCAATAGCTGTGTAAAGGGGAGCAGGAAGCTCAAGAGGCGACCCTGGAATTAGCTTTCTTGTGTTTTACAGCCAGGCTGGCCTTGACTCAAACATCTGAAACACCAGAGGCACCGAATTAGGAAGCAGTGTTTTCTAGCACTCTCCGGTTAGGGTCTAGATCTCCACAGTCTCATCAAAAACATTTAGGGTTTGTTTCTAAGAGCAGGAAAATTCTGCAGATGAATCATTTCACTGATTGTGTACATACAATTTTCCCTATTAAAGGTTGGCAATTTTCCTCTTTGCCCTGTCACTAGATTCTGGGAATTCATCTTCTTTGAGTCCTGCTGGGACCCCTCCACACTGACTATAACCTAGACTTAGGTTACTAATTTAACAGTCTTCACCAGTTTGCCCCCAGTGACCTCCTGGTAAGAAGCTTCTTCAGCAACTTCTTTATGTGTGAAGTTTGGAGTGACAGTATTGCTTACCACAAAGCAGCTATTTGAACATAAAATTAGCTGATTTTATCACAGGGACCAATTGTTAGACTAATTAGATGTGCAGTACTGCTGATGAGCCAGAAACAGAGTGATTTTCCATCTAAACTGGGGTTTTCTGCAAAGTTGGCTGGGTTGTAGATACCAGGCTCTCCAAGAACCCACTGGAAATAAAAGATGGCTGAAGACATACACTAACTTCTAATCAGATTAGAGGAAGCAAGAATCTCATAAGGCAAAGCATCAGAGTGAAACACAAACTTCACTCGAGGTTCTTTGACCTTGAAGATTCTGATTCTGCTCCCTAAATCTGACCTAACTCCAATTCAGACTCACTGCCATCAAGTTGATTCCAGGTCATAACGACCCTATAGGTCAGGGTCGACCTATGACTGTGGATTTCCAAGACTGTAACTCTTTAGGAGTAGAAAGCCTCACCTTTCCTCCAGCGGGTGGCTGGTGGTTTCAAACGGTTTACCGTGTGGTTAGCTGC